CCAGAGATTCAAGAAAAGATTTCAAATGCATAGTGTTCGAGTGACTGGAGAAGCAGCGAGTGTAGATGAGGAAGGAGCACGTACGTTTGTTGATAGTCTGGATAAATTAATTACAGATGAGGGATATCTAACAGAACAGATTTTCAATGTTGATGAAACTGGATTATTTTGGAAATGGATGCCAGCACGCACTTATATTCACAAAGAGGACAAAAGCATGCCAGGATTTAAAGCATATAAGGATAGGCTAACTCTGCTGCTTGGTGGAAACATCGCAGGGTTTAAGCTGAAGCCGTTCTTAATTTATCACTCAGAGAACCCGCGTGCGTTCAAAAATGTTAACAAGCACACACTGCCCGTCTACTTTCGTTCTCAACGTAAAGCATGGATGACACAAGGATTGTTTGAAGACTGGTTTATGAACTGTTTTATTCCTCAAGTTTGAGAATATTGTTTGGAGAAAGATATTCCTTTCAAGATTTTATTGCTACTCGATAATGCGCCTGGACACCCACCACATATTGGCGATCTCAATCCTGATGTAAAATTTGTTTTCCTGCCGCCAAACACGACTCCACTCATCCAGCCTATGGACCAAGGTGCGATTGCTACATTCAAGGCCAACTATCTCTGAACCACCTTCGCTCAAGCAATATCCGCTATAGATGCTGACTCAGAACTAACATTGCGAGATTTTTGGAAACACTACAACATTTTGATGAGTATCAAGAATATCGATACCGCCTGGGAGGCTGTGACGACAAAGTGCATGAATGGCATCTGGAAAAATTGTGTTAAGCGCTATGTTAATGATCTTGACGGATTTCACAGTGAACATGAAATCGAAACAATTCAGGAAAAAATAGTAAAACTCGCTAAAGACCTTTCTTTGGAGTGTGAAATGGAAGATGTCAAAGAGTTGCTAGACAAAGAATCCGGAGAACTTACAAATGAAGAGCTAATCGAACTGGAAGAAGAAAGAGTGGCGGAAGAAGAAAGAAGAGAAGCAGAGAAAGAAGAGGAGCCAGAAAGAAAGTTCACCACTAAGGGATTATCAGAAGGTTTATCTTTACTGAATAAACTTCTTATACATTTCAGTGCAATGGACCCAAACATCGAACGATTTGCAAGAATTGAACGGATGGCGCATGATGTGTTTCGTCCGTATTGTGAAATTTATGAAGAAAAAAAGAGACAAACAATTCAGACAAAGCTCACCATGTTTATGAAAAAACCAACTCCGGTAACCCCAACTGCTGCCTCAGATGACGACATCAACGATCCGCAGCCAAGCACCAGCGGCCAATAAAATGTTTCATACATGTCTATATATTTGTATATGTTATGTTTTCCAATTGGAAAAATGTGTCCTATGGTATTTTTTAAACCAGCGGCCAATAAAATGTTTCATACATGTCTATATATTTGTATATGTTATGTTTTCCAATTGGAAAAATGTGTCCTATGGTATTTTTTAAACCTGTATTTTGTAATTTTGTATGTTTTGCAAATATTAAACCAGTTGTACCAGTTGCACAGTACTGTACATATAGCCTACTCAACTTACAACCAAATCATGTTACGACCAAGGTCTGTCAGAACCAATTGTGGTGGTAAGTAGATGACTACCTGTATATATATATATATATATATATATATATATATATATATATATATATATATATATATATATATATATATATATATATAATTTTGGGTACATTGTTTAGCTATTTATTTATGTACTTGATGCTATTTATTTATATACTTGATATCCTAAACTGTATTTTATCTCACAATTGCATTGTGAGTGCATAACTATGTGAGTAATCATCCAGCATAAAAGCTAGGTCTTTGTGACTTAATTTTTTAATGAATTACATTTGATGTCCCATTGCTAGACATCATTATCAACTGTCATACTGCAGACATCATAGCAATATGACAGAAAAATTGTTAATGCTTCATTAAAAATCTAAAATCACACACATATGTGTTTTCATCAATCGTTTTTTTACTTAACATCTTGAACCTATTTCATCTGCAGTCTTGAAACTTGACATATAGAGACAATTATATGAGGGTAACTCAGCCATGTCAAAAATATTACACTGTGACCTAAATTTTTGCCTGTAAATTGTTGGATACTCTAATTGTGGTCATTGTCAAAGCATGTAAATAGCTTGTGTAAATTTAATAGCACATATAAATTGGTGAACAGTTAACTTGCTAGATCTTTTGTCTTTTAAAATTTGAACATTGTTGTTTGTTACTTCAAAATAGTCTATTACAGCAGGTCTGTTTCAGAAACCAGATTTCAATTTTTGGAAAGTTAAAATTTAATATGGATAAATGTCTTTAGCAATGTCAGTTTACCCATTCTTTGCATTTTTATGTAAGAAATACTTCTTGATGAATGGAATAAGCTATAGCAGATGTTAACTGAAGTGTACTTAACCTGTGTTCACAAGTTTGAATGTGCAATTTCATGGCAATTACAAACCAACATAACAGTGAGCCAAAGTCAACATGCAAGACTAGATGAGCAAGAAGTGCAGAGAATGCATTATCTCGATGCTGGTTCTGACATAACCAATGTATTACACCTCGACCAGTAGAGAATTGTAAGAATTTACTATTTATTATGATGCTTAAATGATATCGCAGTATTGCATTGCAGCATGTGCACTCCTTTTGAAGTTAACAAATGAATTTTCATAGGTAAAAAAAAATGTTAATGCATTTTGTAATGTTATCATTCAGTGTAAACGTCAGATGTTGAAATTGTTTGCGAGCTTTTCAAAATATAAGTAAAATTAAGTTAAATATAACAGCCTCCTGGCCCAGCACTACAATTTCTGTTTGAGTTTTGACAACATTTGATTAAAATTGTAACCAAAATCATTGTGATTAATAGTACAAAATTGAGTTTTTGGCAGTTTTATGATATTGTAAGAAGTATCTTATGTGATTAACAAAAACTGTTTTATCCACTTGTGCACTATTGGTATGCTTTTGACACTTAGTCACAAAATGCATCACTAAGTTTCTCATTGGAGATGAACATAAGAATGGTACTGTGGAAAAGTATGAAGGGATGACACAAAACACATCACTATTCAATTTATTTTTGGACAAGAACATAAGAATGGTACTGTGGAAAAGTATGAAGGGATGACACAAAACATATCACTATTCAATTTATTTTTGGACAAGAACATAAGAATGGTACTGTGGAAAAATATCAGAGGATGACACAAAACACATCACTATTCAATTTATTTTTGGACAAGAACATAAGAATGGTACTGTGGAAAAATATCAGAGGATGACACAAAACTCATCACTATTCAATTTATTATTAGACAAGAACATAAGAATGGTACTTTAAAAAAGAACCAGGGGATGACACATGAGTGATGTCTTGTAACAAAGTTAAAATGGGCGAAATGGATGGAATTTACTGTGTTGCATGATTTATTTTGAATGGTATTTTTGAGCACATTATGAAGTAATAGTGCTGTTTGATATAGGACAGAAAATTCTAACATTTAGTAGCATGTTTGAGTTTTATAATCACATAAAGAAGAATATGATAGAAACAACAATAAAAGGAAATACATAATTACAGAAGGGATAGGTAACTTTCACCAGTGTTACCATATTCCAAAAAGGAACACAGTGATGATGATGTTGTTTGGGGTAAACACCATTTATGAGCATAAAATAGGCTCTACATGGCAGCCAGGATATGGGGAAGCTACTGGCAGCTTTTGCACGTGCCCACATTGGCTGAGACTCAAACCCATGTGGACAGAATTGAGATGGTGGTGATTTGTAAAGGCTAGCACTTCATACAACTGGGTCACCAATGGTATTGAAATGAAGCTGAATGGAAGAATTAAACATACATAGATAAGCATAAATAATAAATGGAGGTGAAGATGAAACATAAATATGTCTATTGTGAAAAAAAAAACAAGTGAATACTGGGGAATGTGCATTTTGACATAAAATTTCATAATTTTAGCATATTTCAATAAAATGGTTACTAAGTGTTTAAAAGTCATGGTTCATAAACTAAATATGATCGACCCAGACTTAGCTCAGTAGCACTCATACCAAAGAAGCATTTAAGATTCATCCTATCATCGTAATGTTAACTACAACTATCTAATCTTATTGGATAGCTTGTTAAAAGAAATATATTGGACAGATCCATCAGCAGTATCAGAATGCCTGAACAAACATAAAATTAACATAAATAACCTTATCATTTCATATGTTTATTCTCAGATCTCCACACACTTTAATGAGTGCTTCCCATACAAGATTTTTCATTTGTGGCATTTGCTATTGTTAATTCCAAAATGGAACATAAGTTAAAAGAACATGCTGGATTCACAATCTGTATTCTGTCTATCCTAAAGGTTTCATTCAAAAATTATGTATGAACTTGATTGATACACTTAATTTGGTCACTTCTATTTTTATTGGTGACATACTAAGTAATTGGTTTGATTGAGCCAAAAATGTTTTAACATACTGTTATCAGCTTGCTTACAAGATGAGTCCATCTGCAAACTGCACAGTGTGCTGGCAGATCTGGGTCAGTGCAGTTTGTTAGGAGTAATCAGTAGAACAAATAAATTTTGATCAGGGTCTTTGTTGCTTGCAGTCTTACTCGACTTATGAGTGACTACTGTACATACTCTACTTGCAACATATTTTAGTATTTCAGCCTCTGTGTGTGAGTGTGTGTGTTTGTGTGTGTGTGATTTAGGTTTTTAAGTAGCTTTAACAACTTTTCAGTCATATTGCTACTATGTCTGCAGTGTGGCAGTTTATAGTGATGTCTAGTACTGGGGCATCATGCCACAGACATGTAGCATGATGTCCCATCCAGTCACATTATCCTGACACCAGGCCGACCAGTCCTTACACTATCCTCTTAATGCTGAGCACCAAGTGAGGCAGCTATTAGTACAAAGTCTTTGGTATGACTCGGCTGGGGATCAAACCCACGACCTCCCACATCTGAGGCAGACACTCCAACCACTAGGCCACCAGAGCGGTCATTTCTGCCTTTCAACTTTAACCTATGCAACAATTTTATTGTCATATTTACATGATAAAAGAGAGAATACAGCAATATGCACCCAATGATTTTCACTATACTAATGTTTGTTGCAGTTGATGGTTATGGATGCCAACTTTATAACAGGAGTGTGTGTGTGTGTGTGGGTGTGTGTGTGTGTGTGTGTTCACACTACCTGTGTGTCAGTTGAACTGACATTATTTATTGTTTGTAGAAAACTGACAAAATATGAATACAAAAGTATTGTGCAATTTAAACATGTACAATCTTTGAGGGTCTTTCTTTTGAACTTTTTTTTTATTAAAATAATGAAATGAGTAATTTCCATTAATTATGCCTAATTGTAAGATCATTATAAAACTTTAGTCTTAAAAATACAAAAGGGGAATAATTTAATAGTAATTCTGAAATGGAGTGTATTTTAAAAGAAACAGAATCACCATTTGGATATATACCATCAGACACATCTGAAAATGTCTAATTATAAAATTATTTACAATTGCCATTGACAAACAGAATATCTGTGATGTTTTAGTGGATGTACAGAAATACTTCAAGATTGAAGTTGAAACATTTTGTATTGTCTCTTATGGCAAGTAGATATGGAAATATTTCACAAGTTACACAGAAAAAAAGTCACATTTAGTGACAAATACAGAATGCTTCAATTTCATGAGTGAAATAATTACCACCATGTCTGCCATTTCTGCTTCTCAGGTAATTCTGCGCAACAATACAACATTCTGGTAGACATTGGATCACTGTTGGTTCTGGTAAAAAATCCAGTTTGTATCAAGTAACATTGATTGTCTTTTAATTAAGGAAAGTGATATTCATAAAGTGTATAAAAATATCCACATTTCTACCCAAAATGCATATGAAAATGTGATTTCTAAATGTCAACATGAAGACCCACTCTGTGACCTTTTTGAATTTTGAACCCAGAAAATCCTATTTACTATGTACATGTATCTTTCAGAATCATACAAATAAATACATTATATAAAAGATAGAAATATATACCTTAAAATGAAACTGCATTTTATTCCAAGTTTCCAAATTTGCAAGCAGTTGTCCACATGTTCAAAATCGTCTGCTATCCAAATTTTTTTTCTTGCAGCTTGAACAAGATTCTGAATTCTTTGGTATTTTTATTCCATGAATGAGACATTGTAAACTTGTTAAATTCTTTTTTTTTTTTTAAATAATAAATTTTATTATCCCCTTAATAGGTTGACCATTGGGTCTAAACTTGTTACATTCTATTTATTGTTTCTCTTCAACATAAGAGCTAATTTTTCTTATTTTTATAAAATGTTGAACTTTACTAAATTTTTGTACATAATCTGTTTAGTTTGCTTAATATCTCTTGACATTTATTGGCAATGTCACATAGAATTTTTTAAAACCAGCCATATACCTGACCTAATTATTCAATTTAAATGCTAACAAAAATAGTCCAAAGTAATGCATTTCATTTCCATAGCCAGACGGATAAATATTTCATCTTTCCAAAGAGGCCAACATATCACAAGTCATGAAAACATAAGAGTGGTATTCATTGTGCCCAAAATTAATATTATTTGAACAGAATATTCAGGTGATAATTGCCACTTTTCAAATGGCAAGCAGTATTTTATTTATGTCCATCAGTCAAATTTAGTATGTGCTTTGCTTCAATATTGGTGACAGATACCTTAATTGCACAGAAATGCCTGAGAGCATTGTATGTATATCTGTTCAAACAATTGTAGATTTCCTTTTTACTGTTGATTTGCATGGGTTTTCTTCATTCTGTGCCACTTAGTATGAGTTTCCTCTGACCCTTGACACCCCAACATAAAAAAAAACAAATATCAAAAATGGGGTGTCACGGGTAAGAGGAAACTCAGACTAAGTGGCACATGATAAATAGCTGCATTACTACACATACATTAATAAAATTAAGTTCCAAAATTTTGCATTAATTTTAGGATAGCATTATTTTATAAACTTAGTTTGCATGTATCATGCTTTTATATTGTCAAAATAATGAAGATATCTTATTTTCTTAAACATATTTCATGTGCAGACTGATACTATTGGGTTGGTATAACTAGAAAACATAACTGCAGTTGTATCTTGACAGACTTTAAAGTGTGACATCTTTATTCAAAATATTTCAATGATTTTAAGTTTGCTTGTTCAGATTTTCATTTTTTATTTTGTTTATTTCTACATTCATATTTTTGAGTGGCGTTGGCTCACTTGCAGTCTAACTCAGTAGCAGACACTGTCTCCAATTTCTGATTATTACTTAATTTCAGTTTGTTATTAACACTAATTAGCACCAGATTTATCTATTGTTTTACAAAAAAATTGTGATGTGAGTAAAATCGCTACATAAAAAATTGTATTACTGTATTTACTCATCAGGTTCCCCCCTCCAAATTGTGTACTGTTTGCCAGAGTATTCCAGTACTGTATGGGTTACTCATACCAACAGGTCATGTAAGTTCAGTCACTGACAGCTTCCATGATTCACAAAGAAAACTAATTATAAAAAAAGGTAATACTTGAAGCCTAATTTTCTTGTTTGGAGTTTTTTAATGTACCAAAACAGGTTTACAGTTGGCACTATTAGGATCTGTCCATCCAGATGTGAAAGGAGAGAGAGAGAGAGAGGAGAGAAAATAGGAATAGAAGAAGAAAAATAAATTCAGTCTAAATATGGAAATAATGGGTTTTAATAACATACAGAAGGGCAAATATATTTCATAGAAGGGTAAAAAAAAATAGTTCCAAAAATGATAAAATTGGTATTGGTGTGGCAGTGTAATTTTTCTTTCACTGATATATTTCAATATCTCATTAAGAAATCTGTAATAAGTTTCAATATCACACTATGAAATATATAATAAAGTCATGATATATAATCAATTACACATATTTAAATGGAAATGAGACTGTCTTTATTTCTTTATAGACAGTATTTTGTACCAGTAAATAAGAACTTGTATCTATCTAGCTACACAACTTCATTGTTGGATATAGTTTACTTTTGATATGAATAGATCTTCTCAGCTTACTAGATACAATCCTGATCATGCCCAACAGTTTGCATTCAGCAAAGAAAATTCAACAAAATCCATTTATTATATACCATGGGAGATGTAGCTCTCTTCAGTTTACAGTATACCTGGGAGGTACAGAATTGAATTATTTTTTAAAATTTTTATTTTATGTATGTACGAGAAAGACAGTCCAACAAAGGATGTAATCTTCAAGTTCACAAATAAAAACAGACTCCAAATATCCATATACCAAAATCCAAATCTTATGAAATCCAAATCTTATGCTCTAGCATTCTCAAATGAATGCAGACATCAGTGAATGATCATGTTTACCCAGCAATTTGAAATCCAATATCTATACTCACACCCAGATCTGCCACTGCATAATTCTCTGATAAGTCGGATTCTGTGCTGTTTAATTCATAAAATGGCAGATCTGGGGTTCTGGGAAGTTTGGAGCAATATATAAAACACACAACATTGTCCCTGATCTGTCACCACATTATATGATGGCAGATCAGGATCTATGTTGTTTGTTGTTCAATCCAACTAATTTTACTACAACATGGGCTTTAGAGATGATTTGGTGGAAAGCAGTACAAGTGTGGTTTCTTTATTTTCTTTACAGGGCATGTAAGTGATTCAAGCAGGGAAAGGGTCAAAACATGTAATTTGTATCAATATGTCAAAATTGTTTACTTCCCATAAATCTGTTTTGGCATTTATATTAAGAATGTTGGGTTAGCTGCTAGAATCCAGTTTTGAGATGAGAATCTCCAGGACTGTGAAGCAAAATAGGTATGAGCATGTACAGTAGGAATCTATAGCAAAAACTTTTACATCCCTTCAGATAATGTAGGGGACTATAAAATGTTACATATGGTGTGATTGCAGTTATTGTGTAAAGAGAAGAAGAATAAAATAAAGGGAAGAAAAAGAAGAAAAGATACAAATAATGGTCATAAAAGTGACAATGTAATGGAAATAAGAGTAGATTCAAAGATTTACACTTCATGACAGTGAAAGGAAATAAAAGCTCAATGAGCTAAGTAGTCTACTTGAGATGCTTCATGCTTCCCTATCTAATGACATTCTCCAGATTAATCAATCTGTGCAAAGAAATTTAACTATTTCTCAAACTAATCTGACAGGACATGCCTTGAATCCTTTGATCTCACACATAATATGAGTTTATATATATATATATATATATATATATATATATATATATATATATATGTGTGTGTGTGTGTGTGTGTGTGTGTGTGTGTGTGTGTGTGTGTGTGTGTGTGTGTGTGTGTGTGCAGTTTTAATGGCACATAAGCACAATCCTGGCTATAGAGTGCCAATTAAATATTAGCTTACAAAACTGAAGATAAAAATTTAAAAGAAATTTAGGACAATAAACTTAAATGCAAACTGTTACAGTGGTTCTACGAGATAAAAGTCATTTGGTTAATGTGTTAAAATATTTTTAAATGGTATATAATGTAAAAGATCACGACAAAAATTTTCTTAAACAGTATAGGGTGAAAATTTGTTCAATAAACTACATTTTTTCAAAAAATGAAGTTTTTCATTGGTAGTATATAGTCAAAATAGCTTCTTAATTGATTTCACATAAAAGGCTTGTATCATATAGGGCACTGCTCTGGTTGCCTTGTGGTTAGAGTGTCAGCCTCATGCTGGAGATGGCAGGTTCGAATCATAGTTGAGTCAACAAAGACTTATAAAAATGGTACTAACAGCTGCCTTGTTTGACGCTTAACAATAAGAGGTCAGTTAGGACTGGTTGACCATGTGTCAGAATAATGTGACTGGGTGGAACATCATGCTATATGTCTGTTACATGATGCCCCAGTGCTAGGCATCACTATAAACTGCCACATTGCAGACATCATAGCTATGTGACTGAAAATTTTTTAA